TTTTTTCATCATTCTTATTGTTATGATTATTATTATTGGCAGTGGTAGTAGTTGTAGTAGTATCATTATTATTATTGTAATATATATATATATATATATATATATATATATATATATATATATATATATATATATATATCGCTCTGATTTTCTTTCTTTTTCTGCTCTGCTTCCTCTTCCCTCGATCCTGCTCTTCCTTCTATTCCTCCTCCTCCTCCTCCTTCTCCTCCTTTTCCCCTTCGCCCTCTTCCTCCTCCTCCTCCTCCCCCTCCCCTTCCTTCTCCGCCGTCGTCATCTCCCCCCCACCCCCCTCCCTGCGCCACCCACCGCCTCTCTCGCCCTTTGCTTTCAGTGATGGGGAATAATCACTTACAAGCGTAAATAAGGCTTGTGTATGCAAAGGTCCCTCGGTGCCTCAGACCCGGCCGGAGGGGGGGAGGGGGAGGAGAAGAGGAGGGGGAGGGGGGGAGGAGGGGGGGAGCGCGCCCTTGCAATAACATGTGTTCTCATAATGAATAGTTAATATAATCACTGCCGCGCCTATGATATTGGCCTCTGATACTGAGCTGCGTGCTTCTCCGTCGCTTGTCTCCTCGTGATCTCTCTCTCCTCTCTCTCTCTCTCTCTCTCTCTCTCTCTCTCTCTCTCTCTCTCTCTCTCTCTCTCTGTCTCTCTCTCTCTCTTTCCCTCTCCCTCTCTTTCTCTGGTATTTCATTCTTTTCTTCTTCCTCTTTCTTTGTTAATCTTTTGGAGTTTCGTTTCTTTTGTTTTCTTTCTTTCGTTTCGTTTTGTTTTCTTTTTCGTTCCTCGCTAGTTTTCTTTTTTGTTTTTTTCTCGAAAAGTTATTTGTGTATCTTTATTTCCCCCAACTATTTTTTTTTTATCTCGTTCTCAAAGTCTTTCATTCCCTTCCTCTATCTCTATATACTGTTCCTCAACCCCCCCCCCCCTTCCCTCCCCTCCCAGTCAACGCCCCTCCCCCCTTCTTGTTTTTACTCCTCGCTACCTGAGCTTTTTTTTCTCTCTCCCTCTCTCTCTCTCTCTGTGCTCTCTCCCTCACTCTTCCCGAAGCCTTCTCCCCGTCTTCGTACGCAGCCAATATTTTGACGGTGACATCTTACTCTAGGCAGGTGAGGTGGGGCCGTAAGGGCGAGAGTTGGGCGGAGGGGATCGCTGGTTCCGCCCTTAAGGCTTCCCCGCACACTACCACAGTAATGTCTGATAACAAAGGAGGGACCCGAGGCCTCCCCCTGGCCTCCACCTCCCTCCTGGGGTGGGGACTCGTGGTCTTGTCCGACGTCTGTGCTATCCTGTTATGTCTTTATTGTTAATCTATTGTCACTGGGTATCCGTCTTCCAGGCTGCCTTCTCTGATGAGTTTCTTTATTCGCGTCTCTCTCTCTCTCTCTCTCTCTCTCTCTCTCTCTCTCTCTCTCTCTCTCTCTCTCTCTCTCTCTCTCTCTCTCTCTCTCTCTCTCTCTCTCTCTCTCTCTCTCTCTCTCTCTTCTCTCTCTCTCTCTCTCTCTCTCTCTCTCTCTCTCTCTCTTTCTCTTTCTCTCTTTCTCTCTTTTTCTCTCTGTCTTTCTGTCTCTCTGTCTCTGTCTCTCTCTCTCTCTCTCTCTCTCTCTCTCTCTCTCTCTCTCTCTCTCTCTCTCTCTCTCTCTCTCTCTCTCTCTCTCTCTCTCTCTCTCTCTTTCTCTCTCTCTTTCTCTCTCTCTCTCTCTCTCTCTCTCTCTCTTTCTCTCTCTCTCTCTCTCTCTCTCTCTCTCTCTCTCTCTCTCTCTCATTCTCTCTCTCTCTCTCTCTCATTCTCTCTCTCTCTCTCTCTCTCTCTCTCTCTCTCTCTCTCATTCTCTCTCTCTCTCTCTCTCTCTCTCTCTCTCTCTCTCTCTCTCATTCTCTCTCTCTCTCTCGCTCTCGCTCTCGCTCTCTCTGTATCGTTTCTCTTTGTATGACCATCTCTTTTTGCCTTTTGCTCTTTCGTTCTCCGTCTACAACCCTCTGGCTCTCCAACATTTTGAATTGTTCTCTAACCCCCACCTTCCCCGCCTGTCGTTCCCTCCCCTCCCCCTCTCGTCTTTTCTCCGCGTCTCCTCCTCCTCCCTCGATTTACGATCGACTCACTCTTTCTCCGGCTCCTCGCGTTTCTCTTATATTCGGCGCGAGATAAGGCCTCCCTCACGTACGTCTTCTCTCCCCAGGACCGCGTTGGCGAGGTGCTCAAGCGTGCCGGCGTATCGGTGGTGCTGACGTCCGTCTGCAACGCATGCGCCTTTTTCGCGGGCGCCCTCGTGCCTGTGCCCGCCCTCAGAGCCTTCTGCATGCAGGCGGCGCTGCTGGTGCTGGTCAACCTGGTGGCTGCCCTCACCGTGTTCCCCGCCGTCATGAGCCTGGATCTACGGCGGCGCCACGCCCAGCGCGCGGACCTCCTGTGCTGCCTCCCGGGCTGGAACCGCGACCAGGTCGTATCCCTGCAGCCGGCGTCGTCCTCCAGCGTCGCGGCGGAGGAAGGGCGCTGTTGGACGCGCCCCCACCGCCCGCCTCCCGTCAGCAGCGAACTCACCAAAAAGAACACGGTGACGCGGGCGCTTCCTCCCCCGGGCGGCGGCACCGTCACGCAGGTGGTTATGCCGCCCGTCGCGCCCAGAGAGTGCTGGGCGAGCACCGCCACGCCCACGGACCCTCACGCCCCTTCCGCCCCCTCCCTCGAATCCCTGGCCACGACGAATTCCACGCGGGACCTTGTGAGCGGGGAGAAGCGGTTCTCGGGCGTCTCGCGGGCGTGGACGTCGGTGCTGAACTTCTGGTCTGGCTGGAACCTGGACAAGTGGGCGGCGGAGGTGTACGGGCCGGCGGTGACGCGCGGGCCGGTGAAGGCGGCGGCGATGGTGGCGCTGCTGGCCTCGGTGGCGGCGGCGGCGTGGGGCGTGAGTCGCGTGCAGGACGGCCTGGACCTGACGGACATCGTCCCCAGCGACACGCCCGAGTACGCCTTCCTGGCAGCCCAGCAACGCTACTTCGGCTTCTACAACATGTTCGCCGTGACGCAAGGCAACTTCGAGTACCCGACCAAGCAGCGGCTCCTGCACGACTACTACGAGGCCTTCACGCGCGTCAACCACATCATTAAGAACGACGACGGAGGGCTGCCCGAGTTCTGGCTGTCGCTCTTCAGGGACTGGCTCGTCGGTAAGTACCGTGCGCGCTTTCTGTGTTGGGGTTGGGTGAATGTTTCGGAGGCTGCAGGTTAAGAGCTAAGATATAGCTGATCAGAATAGTCCCAAAAATATACATAGTAATACAATGTAGAAGTCATCCGTCTAGGAAGAGTATATCTGTACTTGTCCATTACACAAAAAAGGGAGGCAGTGCAGGAGAAAAACGTACTTTGCCCACACCCAGCCATGACTAACAGCACGAGAGCCTCGGCCGCGGTAGAATATCTCGAAATTGTCCAAGTGCTTCTTCCGCCCCTTTGTGTTGATGTCCGTGGAGTCATCACCAACACAAGTCTTAACCTTTGTGTGTTGAGGTCATGTTCACACCTCAGGGAGCACATCCACTCCTCACGTCACTCAGGAACCCACACTCCGACCGCAGTGAGTTCCCGCTGTCCATCTTCCTTTAAAGCCTCCTCTCGTCGCTTCACCTTTCGTCCTCGCCTGTTTCCTACACGGCTCCCTCCCTCGGCCACAGGCGTCTTGCGGGCGTGTGGGTGGGCGGGCGTGGGGGTACTTTCAGCTCGATCTCCTATCCACTTTTGTTCTTTCTCTTTTTTCGCTCTCTCTCTCTCTCTCTCTCTCTCTCTCTCTCTCTCTCTCTCTCTCTCTCTCTCTCTCTCTCTCTCTCTCTCTCTCTCTCTCTCTCTCTCTCTCTCTTTCTGTTTGCCAGTCTGTCTTAATCTGTTTACTCCCCTCTCTCTCTCTCTCTCTCTCTCTCTCTCTCTCTCTCTCTCTCTCTCTCTCTCTCTCTCTCTCTCTCTCTCTCTCTCTCTCTCTCTCTCTCTCTCTCTCTCTCTCTCCCTCTCCCTCTCCCTCTCCCTCTCCCTCCCCTAACGCTCACTCGTGGTCGTGGTTGTGGTTGTCGTTTATTTATATTCCTGTCTCTGATTTTTTATTATCGTTGCTTTCCATTCCCCCTTCTTTCGTTAGTTTCATTTATATATATATATATTTTTTTTTCGCACGCGTGGTACGTCAATCTGATTTTTATTATCGTTGCTTCCCACCCCCCCTCCTTTTTTTTGGTTAGTTTTATTTTTATGTTATTTTTGTCGCACGCGTGGTACGTCATCAGCCCTTTCTGTCTACGCTGTCGACATCAAGGGCGCGCTACGAGACGTGTTAATTACTGTAGAGTTATTCCCCTCAACATTTATTACGGAGGGGAATTCTAGACGCCTACTCCGGCCGGTGAATACATCTCACAACGTCACATATTTAGCTATATTTAGCCCCCGTTGTCTCCTGTTCTTATTTCTGCTTCTCCCCCCCCCCCCCGTCCTTCTGTTCTCTACCTTTCCTCTCCGCTCCTTCTGTTCTCTACTTCTCTCTCTTCGCTTCCTCTGCTCTCTGCTTCTCCCTCTCCCTTTCCTCTGTTATCTGCCTCTCCTCCCCCCTTCCTTCCTTCCTCTGTTCTCTGCCTCCCCCCCTCTTCCTCTACACCCCGACCCCTCTTTCTTTCCCTTTTCCCCCTCTCTTCCCTTTCCCCATGGTCTTCCTTCGTTCCCCTCTTTGGATGTTCGGACACAAGGGGATGGAAGGGGAGGGGGAGGGGGAGGGGGTGAAGGTGCGTTGAAGGGCAAAAGAGAGGTATGAAAGAGCAGTGATGGGGAAGGGGGGAGGGGAAGGGGAAGGGGAAGGGGAAGGTAGAGGATGGCGATGTAGAGTGTCTGGCACTGACGGTCGATGGCACCGTGAACACGCGGTTGGCCGGCGTGCTTTCATCAGCTGGCGGGGGGGGGGGGGGGGGGGAGCGGTGGCACTGATGAAGCGACGGGGCCAGACATCTCTCAGCGTCGTGGGGGGTTGGGGGTTGAGTGAGCGGGAGAGGGGTTGCGTAGGGGAGGTTGGGGGAGATGAACCGGGTGGGGGAAGTGGGGGGAAAAGGTTTGCTTGGGGGGGATGAATCTGGTGGGGGGGGGAGATTAGGAGAGGAGATGGCATCTGAAATCACGCGTATCGAGATTATGCGTTCGTTTTAACAGATGTTGCAAGCTGCTAGGCTCTCTTGTCAACGCAGTAAGACGCGCTTCACAAACGGGCCTTGTTTGATTAACGATTTGGGAGAAATGTTTGAACTTCAAGTCATGACCGAATATTTAGCGATTAGTGGACTGATTTGCGCATAGTCAATGTTCTAATGCCTTCCGCGTTAACAAAACACTAAACCTGTTTTTCGAAAGACGAAACATTTATCAATAAACCTGACTGATAGACGAAATATCAAACAAAATGATAATACAAAATAAAAAGATTTATTCTATTGATGAATAGATAATCTTGTTCATCAATAAAATAAATCTCTATCCTTTTTTTCAACCAGCTAATATTTCCACCCCCTCGCCCTTTCCCCCGCAGGACTCCAGCAGGCCTTCGACAGGGACTGGCGGACCGGCTGCATCACCCAGGAGCACTGGCACAAGAACGCCTCGGACGACGGGATCCTCGCCTACAAGCTGCTCGTCCAGACCGGCCACGTCGACAACCCCATCGACCTTTCGCTCGTCTCCCATGTACGTGTTTCAGAGAGGGAGGGAGGGAGGGAGAGTGAGAGAGGAGGGAGGGAGGGAAGAAGGGAGGAAGGAAGAGAGGGTCAGAGGAAAGAAGAGAGGGTCAGAGGAAAGAAGAGAGAGAGAGAGAGAGAGAGAGAGAGAGAGAGAGAGAGAGAGAGAGAGAGAGAGAGAGAATCAGATAGACAGACAAACACAGTCAGTCAGACAGAGCAGGAGTCTGTATTCTTATTCTATCAAAATGGACGGCGAAAAAATACAGACTTACAAACTAACCAACGATCCCCCCCCCTTCCCTTACAGACGCGGCTGGTGGACTCGGAGGGCATCATTAACCCGAAGGCCTTCTATAACTACCTGACGGCGTGGAAGAGTAACGACGCCCTGGCTTATGGCGCCTCTCAGGCCGACCTGCGCCCGGAACCCCGCCATTGGCTCCATGATGTTCACGACATCGATCTGAAGGTCAGAATCTTCCCGGGGAGGAGGGAGGGAGGGGCGTGGGTGGGCGGGCGGGCGGGTTGGGTAGCCGAGGTTTTAGAGTGGGCAGAGAGTGTGTCGTATTCATTCCCAATTATGAAAGAATAATTGTCGTGGCATGTACCTGCCATCACCTGCACAAACGTTCCTTTCATTAGTCTTATAAGTTCATTGAGACCGACTTATGATCTGTTGAGGCTCACCTTCTTGCGGCGATTGGCCAGTCTCGCCGCAATCTCTCGGAGCGTCTCGATTAAACCCTCGGGAAATAACGGCCTCTTCTCCCCCCTTCGCGCCGCAGATCCCGAAGTCGCCGCCGCTGGTGTACACGCAGCTGCCGTTCTACCTGCACCAGCTGGGCGACACCAACGCCATCACCGCCATGATTCACGAGGTGCGCGCCATCTGTAGGAAGTTTGAGGAGCGCGGCCTGCCAAACTTCCCCACGGGCGTCCCCTTCACCTTCTGGGAACAGTATATTAAGCTCAGGTAAGGAGGCCGGCGGTGGAGGGGTGGGGAAGGGGCTTCGCTCTGAGCGCCTTTGGGGAAGTTCTCTGAGACTCGTGAGGTTTACTCCTGAGGGAAGAGGAACGGGAGGGGGAGGGAGTGGCGGGGGAAAAGGGAAAGGGAAAGGGAGGGAAAGGGAGGGAGTGGGGAAAGAGGAAGGGGAAGTGTTGTCAGCGGGAGTGCCGTAAATAAGTAATGTCTTCCATCCCGCAGGTTTTATCTAGTGCTGGCGCTGCTGGCGGTGCTGACGGCGGTGTTCCTGGTGCTGGCGGTGGTACTGATGAACCTGTGGGCGGCGGCGCTGGTGGTGCTGCTCCTGGCCACGCTCGTGCTGCAGCTGTTCGGCGTGCTGGGCATCTTGGGCGTGAAGCTGTCTGCCGTGCCCGCCGTGCTGCTGATCGTCAGCGTGGGCGTGGGCGTGGAGTTCTGCGTGCATGTGACGGTGGGATTCCTGACGGCGGTGGGCGGGCGGGACCGGCGGGTGGTGCTGGCGCTGCAGCACATGGCGTCGCCCGTGCTGCACGGCGCCGCCTCCACGCTGCTCTCGTCGCTCATGCTGCTCTTCTCCGAGTTCGAGTTCATTCGGCGGTGAGTCCTTGCAGGCGTGCGCCATGGGCGTGATTCGCGTGTACACTAACGAACACGCACACGAACGCACAAACGCACACACACACACTAACACACACACACACACACACACACACACACACACACACACACACACACACACACACACACACACACACACACACACACACACACACACACACACGAACACACAC